GAAGTCATTTGGCTGGAGCTGGTGGGAGTCAAAGTCTAAAACATCTGTGATCTTTCAAAAATATAGCTAAAACATTTTATGGACATTCAGAATTATAGGGTAGTGATACTGCATGGTAGCCAATGTGGTACCCTAGAGGTTGTTGGACTCCCATCATCCCTCACCACTGGCCATGCTGACTAGGACTGATTTGGAGTCCAGCAGCATCTAGATTGTGTCATGTTGGCTTCCCGCTGTTATAGTACTTTTCCTATTTATACTCTGCCCATCTGACTGGGTTGCTCTGGGTGGCTTTAAGCATATATAAAGACACAATAAAACATTAAACATTAATAAAATTTACCTATACAGGGCTGCCTTCAGACAGCTTAGGGGTCAGATAACACCATACCTTCCAACATTTATCTGATGAAAATAGGGATGTCCTAAGGAAAAGTGGGACATTTCAGGACCCAATCAGAAACCGGGATGGCTTCTGTAAATCCAGGACTGTCCCTGGAAAATAGGGACACTTGGAGGGTCTGCTAAGGTAGGTGAAGACATTGCTCAATAGATTGCTAGCAATGTGAGACAGCTTTCACTCCCATGTTGGTACATAAACACAGCGTACTATGTTTACTTTGGAATTTGCCAGAGGGGCCAAATCTTTTTGGACGTGTACATTATCCTCCTTTTAAATTCAAGTTTTGCGGTAACTGCCCTAAAGCCAGTAAAATAATCTAGCGAGAAGCCATGCAATTAGACCATCTGCCAAGCCCTCTGCAGCCACGATATGTAAATTGACAAGCTAAATTGGCTTTGCTCCAATAAACAAAATTTTGGAAGCTTAAACCAAGAAAAGCAATAGCATTCTGTGGCTTTAATTATACGGTGTGTAACATCTCCCTGGTGGACTTAAGGCCTCTGTCCAAGACCATCAGCTGGGGGGTGGTTGTTTTGTGTGCTGAGCTGTTAGCAGTTCCTGCATCCAAACTTGCCAGTTCAAAATCCAAAATATAAAATGCAAGTCTAACAGCTCAATTATGACGCCTACATTAACAAATTTGGGCAAATTCCTAAACCTCATCTAGGACAAGATGAACGCAAACTAAGATTGTAGATATGCTGAAGATGCTTTCAGGTAATTAATCACCCTTAGTGTTTTAAAGTCTCTATGATATGGACCTTGTCTGATCTGTCTATCCTTCCTTATACACATCTGAAAATGTTGGTGTCTAGAGTTTTGCTTCTTCTGAATCATACCAGCTCTTATATTCTAGCTACATGGAAGTCAGGGTGTAGGGATTTTCTCCTACCGTGGAGTACTTGACTAAGGAAGTATCTTATTCTATTAACTTCCTAAAGACCATAGTTGGTAACCTCCTCCTCTGTCTCTTTGTAAATTTAAAACAATAGACAAGAAGACTAGCAAGTAATTTTTAAAAGGGGGGGATATGAATTTGATACCACGTCATTAGACTAAATAAAATTGTCAATATGGTCTCCCATTTTCTAAAGAACCGTTTTAACAGGGGTGGGTGGAAATCCCCCCCCCCCCAAAAAACCCCAATGAAAGTGACATTTTCGTTGCTATCAAGCTATTATGGCTGAACTTCAATTCTCAGCTCAGACCTACATCGTTGTGGTGGGAAGTCTATAATCCAAAGCCAGTGCTAGACTTAATAACGACAATACTTAGCGTTTACTTCAGGCTTCCCCATGTGATGCTCCCCAGATGTTTTGGAGTACAACTCTCATTATTCCTGACACTGGCCATTGTAATACGAAACATCTGCAGAGCACCAAGCTGCAGAAGACTGATTTCCATTGTGCTTTTGGACTGATCAAAGCACTCTGCGTGCATCAGATGTGGGGAACGTTTGTTAGCCTGATGCCTGTAGGCCCTTGAGGGGAACCTTCTAAGGACTTCATGACATTGGTGTCTGGGGCCAAAGTCAAGAGCGGCTGAAGCAATCACACGTTTCAGCTACCCCAAACCAGAGGTTTCTACAGACACACACATTTATGTCTCTGTCCTCCATCTAAGCAAGCAAGCAGACATTCCAGCTAGGCAAGAGCACTCAAGGTGGGACTGGAGAAGAAAGGGGTGGCCTGAGGGGGCCATGGTGTAGGGAGAGTCCCAAAGGCAGCCACACAGAGAGCCCTGGGAGATCACATTCTCTGGTCCTGACATCGAGGGAACCCTGTTAGGCAAGACAGTATCGCCTCCATAACGCAGATGGCACTTTCATATGTTTTTTTAAAAATATAGTTTTTATGAACGATTTTCTTGGGTTACAAAAGTACATACATTGTCTCTATTTTCAGATCATAATGACCTTTCTACAGATCAGTTATATTCAATGTGAGACATTAATGTTGTATGCAGTAGGAAGTTGGGGAAAAGAGAGGCAGGGAGAGAAACCGGGGGAGAGGGGGTAGTAAACTTTCATCGTTTTACATAGTGTATGTGCAAAGTTCTTGTGTCAGCGTCACGTGGGTAGGTTCTCTTTCTATTCATTTATTAGTTGTCATTGGCAGTGAGAGAGGCTGGGGGGCACAGAGCATGGTTGGTTGCCTTCAGTTGACTAAATTTTGTTTGCGTGTGTGTGTGTGTGGGTAGATGGGCGTTAGGTGAAGTTAGCCATATCAGTTCATATGCTGTCAGTGGCTTATTGTTGTTTTCTTGTTGGGCTGTGTGTGTAACAAAGGGGAGCCACACAGGCGTGAAGACGTCCTCTTCTATGTCTCCCTGTGTTCGTCTCGGTTTGTTGGTTAGCTTTTCTAGTAAGGCAGTTTCCCATACAGTTTGGTACCAGTGGTCCATGTTCACTCCTGAGCGCTCCCTCCAGTGTCTAGCTATGATGCTGTGGGCTGCTAAGAGTAGGTGGCTTATAGTTGAGTGTGAAATATGAACTTTAGGTGCTACACTACCTTGCCCGTATGCTACTGAAACCGGTGAGAGCTGGATTCTGATTCTCTCGGCCTGCATGAAGCTCATTGGGTGGCTTTGCCCAAGCCACTGTCTGTCAGGCTAACTTACCTCACAAGGGTGTGTTGCATTCAAACAGGCCACCTTGAGCTCCTTTGAGGAAAGGTGCAATACAAATGTGATAAATATAAAATAAACACGGCATAGGCAACAATATTAAAGAAAGCAATAAATGCTAGTCCAGGAGGGTACTTGATGTGAAATGTTTTATGTCGTTTCTATGGTGACTGATTAGACTGCCTGGTGACTAACAGCATGAAATAGTGCTGCTGACTGAGAATAGTTGATTCCCATGGATTCTGGGCATTGCATGCCGACTAGGTATTTGTTATCTAGAGTGATGTGTTTGTGTGTGTTAGTTCAGCCTGTGGGTACCTACCTACATGCTTATCTAGTTTAGTTTGAGCTTGAAATAGGAATGCTTCTAGGACCAAAGTCTCCTACATTTTCTAAATTACACACACACACACACACACACACACACACACACAAACACACAATGCTGTAACCTAATTCTCCCCTTTGTATTCCACAACATGTTTTGGAGAAACCCAAAATTAGATATAAAAGTTACCTTAAGGCTGTGATATGTAATCTCAGTTGAAAACCACGGGGTTGATACCCTGATCATAAGGATGCTTTATGCTTTCTGACCTCAGACCTCCACTTTGCAGCCTGCTTGACCAAATCCTGCACTGAACATAAGGTTCACACTGCAAATACACAGGTCCTGGAGTGGAGCCATAGTGCTCTCCTCTTTTTCACCTGGCTGCCCCAGTAAGGGCACTTGTAGGTATCTATCCAGCTTGCTTTCATACACATTTTGTCTCTTTCCCCTTGAGGAAACTTGACTTTCAAGCTTCTGCTTTATTTCTCCTTAGCTTTCTCAGCTAGGCCCACTGTGAAGAGCAACTCTAAGAGGCATATCAAAAGCCCCTGAGGATGAGTGAGTTTACGCTGAATTCAAAACAGAATCTCCCTGTACTGTTTCAAAGCCAAGTTGCGTGCTTGAACAGGTCTGTGCAGCAGGTGGATGCAGTGGGGAAATGTATTTCAGACCCGCATTTCTGATTTCATTTTCCACGAGCAGGAGGAAAAGTTTGGTTTTTTGGGCCAAGTCTGTGGGTTGCAGGAGTGCAGTCATCTTTTTTTGCATCTCTGTTTAGCATATGTGATCCTACATGTTTATAAGGGCTCATCCAGTTTTCCACTCGTTCCCCTGGGAAAACCCCATTTTTACTACTGAATTGGAGCAAATGTCAATGGGATTTTTTGCGGACTAATATTTACACTAAAGGGTGGTTTTTCCCTGGGAAAGTAGTGGGGCAAACAGAAAACCATTTGAACCCATGCCCAGAAAGCACGGGACAAACAAAATACCATTCAGACTTACGTTTTCTAGGCATGGAACAAGCGGAAGTATGGATGAATACTTTGGAGAGGTTTTTTTCTGTTTCGCAGGTGAGCAGGGGTTCAAAATTGTGCTGCATCTGAGAAATACAGCCTGATCCCCTAACCAGCAGAAGTAAGAAGTCTCAGTGATATTATTATAAAGAATAAAAATATGGACTTGATGACCCTCGAGGTCCCTTCCAACTCTACAGTTCTATGATTTAATTTTATGATATCTTGCCTTTCAGCCTCCAAAGGCCACCATTTTAATTAATAGCACTGTGCACCCTGATGTGGTGAGGGTTGGTCACCAGGTTTCATGGGTCTACCCCACCAAATGCTGGAGTCTGTTTTGATGCCGAATGAATCTAATCCAGTTGGCTACACCTCCCCTTCAAGTCTCCCCCAGCTCCCCCTTTTTGTCTCCTATATTTCCCATGGGTCTTGGCAGCCCATGATAACTGCCACAATGCTCCCATCAGCACCTTGAATCAAAGTGATGAGATCCACTTTCCTTAATAATACCTGGTCCTTTGAGCTCTAACCTTCAACAACTCTGGGAAAGGGAGAATCATAAAATCGTAGAATTGCAGAGTTGGAAGGGACCACTAGTCCAACCCCAAACAATGCAATAATCTTTCGTCCAAGGCGGGGCTCGAACCTACAACCCCAAGATTAAGAGTCTCATGCTCTACTGACTGAGCTAGAAGGGAAGATGTGTGTGTGTATTGCTCCTGGACTTTGTTATCTGGTGTTCTGCGGGGACATCCTCCATTCACACATGGCAATCTGTCATCTTTCACTCCTTGTCAGTGAACTGCTCAGGTGAGACATCTGAAAGAATCCATAGCATGTCCTTTTTGGTCATATCTGAGCTGGCAGGGTTAGAAGGGAAGCATCTATCATCCCTCCCTCCCTCCCATCCCACACAACCTCCAATTTCTCTTAATATGCCTGCACAGGAAAGGCCAATTTGAAGTGTGATTGCTGTGAGCGTTTGCCTTATGGTTTGTTATTCCGCAGGTCAAAGGTGAAGGGTTGGGGCATTAATCAGCAAGCACAATGCAGAACAGAGATGCTAATTGTGTCTAAAAAAAAAGGAGCCCGCTGTCATGGGAACAACAGATGAAAGAGAAGCCTTTTCAAGGATAACATTCACAAATGAGACAGCATACCTCAAATGTGCCTTTCAAGACATGTGCACGCATGTATGTGTATAATTGTTAATGCTTTATAAAGAATTGGGAGCCCATCCTTTCAATCAGTTTCTACATCTTGCTGCCTGAGGTGAAGCAACAAATGGTTATTACCCCGCTCTCCATCTTCCCGCAAGCCAAGGTGCAAAGTACCAAAGACTAATTATTTTGGCATCCGGGACACAAGTACCCCTCTCACTCCCTGCAAATGCGACTACAGTGGTACCTCGGGTTACAGATGCTTCAGGTTACAGATGCTTCAGGTTACAGATGCTTCAGGTTACAGACTCTGCTAACCCAGAAATAGTACCTCGGGAACTTTGCTTCAGGATGAGAACAGAAATTGTGTGCTGGTGGCACAGCAGCAGCGGGAGGACCCATTAGCTAATAATAATAATAATAATAATAATAATAATAATAATAATAATAATATATTTTTAATTTTTTTTATTTATATCCCGCCCTCCCCAGTCGAAGCCGGGCTCAGGGCGGCTAACAACAATAAAATAATACAACATTCTAAAATCATTTCATTATAAAATTAATTCAAATCAAATTGATGGCAACCATTGGGCTAGAGTTCTGTGAAGATTGCCAAAGGAGGGAGTCAGACTGTGCCCTGACCAAAGGCCTGGTGGAACAGCTCTGTCTTGCAGGCCCTGCAGAAAAATGTCAAGTCCCGCAGGGCCCTAGTCTCTTGTGACAGAGTGTTCCACCAGGTTAAGAACAGTTTCAGGTTAAGAATGGACCTCCACAACGAATTAAGTTCTTAACCCGAGGTACCACTGTACTCCTACTCCCACTATTTGCTTCCCTCTCATGACACCCCAAATCAGCTGCAGGAGGCATATTCTCCACTCTGCCTAATGGTAGGGCCAGCCCTGAGTGCAGAACCTAACAAATATGCAATAATACATGATTGGGCTGTACCACTTGAAAGCATTATCTGCACACAGACAATTTGGTTTCTGCATCTTATGATGATTCACTTTATATTCCTTTAACTAGAAATAAAAGCTTATTTGCCACACTTGGAGAAGGGACACCCATACTCTTCTCCTTTTTTTCCTCCCCACCTTATGTGAACAAGAAGCAAAACTCAAGATGGAGTTAAGTAGATAGGAGCAGGCTTGGATCGCAAGAGTGACCCAGAGTGCAAAGGAAGTGTATAATTGCCACTGAAGCTTCTGGGAGGAAAGAGTTGCCCTTGAGGATGTTGAAGTAGTGGTTAAACTTGCCTTTCTTGTGGCCCGAAAGGGGGGCGGGCTGCAAATTGCCTCCTGAGATTCAGGGATGCCCTGTACCTGCCTCTTTTGGAGTCCTTGTAGTAGCCAAGACACCCTCACACACCACGATGATAAACATTTTGTTATTCTCAAATTATAAAGCTAAGGGAGCAATCCTAGTCCCTGGCTGTGGAGCAGTAGGGCTGGATGAAGCGGCAGAGATGCTCAATCGGTAGAGCCTGAGGCTCTTAATCTCAGGGTCGTGGGTTCGAGCTCCACAGTGAGCAAAAGATTCTTGCATTGCAGGGGGTTAGACTAGATGACCCTCATGGTCCCTTTCAACTCAAAATTCTATGTTTCTACCTCATCCATAGTCCTTCCACATGCACAGGAAAGGGTGTGGGGGTATTTTACCTATTTATTTACTTGCAGTATTTATAGCCCATTCTTCCTTGAATATTTTCAATCCCGGAGTGGGGAACAAAGTGATAAAATAAACGGAGAAAAACAACACACAAAAATTATAAACTCACATAAAGAGGTTCAATAAACACAAATTTAACAGTTCTGTCGCAAAACCACAATAACAAGAATTTAAAATTCCAATTTAACAAAATGCCTAGGTAAAAGCAAACACGAGACATCCAAAGAGATTTAAACAGATGATAAAAACCAATGGTTCCAGTGCATTGGTTCCCACCCTGGTTTTTTTCCTTAGGGCAGCCCATTCCCTCCTCCTCTGCCTTTCACACGAAGACGACCTACTCTGTGCCTACAGACTCTCTGTGGCTTCTGAGTAACTTAACACCTTTTGCCCCACCATCCAGCCTCTCACCCTGAGTGGTATGAATTGTTGCCACAAGCATCCATGAAAAAAACCACCCACCACCCACAGCACAAACAGAGGGGAAAGAAACACACACACAAATGGAAGAGGGGGGTGGCAATAAGACACAGCTGATGTTTCTTTCTCCTTTTCCATTCCTGAGGAAATTCAGAGGCCTCAGTGCCAGTCAGGCTGCCAGATAGAGATGTGTAGATGGATTTGCAGGTCTCCCCCCTCTCATCTTTCTTTCCTAGCTGGTACAAACAGTGTCCAAGGTCTTCCCAAGTCTAATTCATGCTCTGCAAGCTCCAGGAAACACCATCAATGGTAGCCTGCCAGTGGGCCCTCGGAGCTGGACCTCAGTGTCTGGGCTGAATGATGGGGGTGGAGATGCTCCATCAGATATACTAGTCCAAGGTCATTTAGGACTTTAAAGGTCAGCACCAACAGTTTGAATTGTGATTGGAAATGTAAAGGTAAAGGTACCCCTGACTGTTAGGTCCAGTCGCAGACGACTCTGGGGTTGTGCACTCCTCTTGCTCTATAGTCTGAGGGAGCCGGCATTTGTCTGCATACAGCTTCCGGGTCATGTGGCCAGCATGGCTAAGCCACTTCTGGCGAACCAGAGCAGCACATGGAAATGCCGTTTACCTTCCCGCTGGAGCGGTACCTATTTATCTAGTTGCACGTTGATGTGCTTTCGAACTGCTAGGTGGGCAGGAGCTGGGACCGAACAATGGGAGCTTACCCCGTCGCGGGGATTCGAACCGCTGACCTTCTGATCGGCAAGCCTTAGGCTCTGTGGTTTAACCCACAGCTGGGAGCCAAACCAAACCAAACCAAAACCAAACCAGGCTTGCAAATCACCACTGATGCTTTCAAAAATGCTCTAGAGACTCTCCCTTCTGCCTCCCCTAAATGTGTGGGACTTGGCCTTTTCCCTTTCTCACCTTGTTAATCTCTCAGCCGCTGGAAAGAAAGGGGGCAGTGGGGAAAGACCAGGGCACAACACCACAAGCAGGACCTCTGCTTTCCAAAATAACTTGTGCTCCATTTATCCTTCTCAGTTGGTTGACTGGCCAACTCATATCTAGTCAGAAGTCATTCCCAAAGAGTTCTTTGGGGTTTGCAGGCTGTAGCCGTAGTTGTGCAAAATTCAAGTAAAAGCAAAAATGTGACATCACTCTATGCTTCTGCGTTGCTTACTGAGAGCTGGTATAACGTCGTGGCAGAACTGTGATCACTCAAGTCTTGCCTTTGACGTGAATTTGCTTAGTGGCCTTGGGCAGGCCATTCTCTCTCAGAATGCTGATCAGTCTACAGAATCATTCTGAGGACAAGGCAAGGTGGCATGGGAAAGATTTGCAATTGGATCTCTCGACATCTTTGCATTGGTTAAAAGCAGCCAACAGGGCTCTTGGTTGAGATTGGAGTCACGACACGAAAGGCTAAACCTGTCCTGCTTCTCTCTGTTTCCCTGACTTAAATTGTTCCCTTCTGCCTTGGTTGGGGGGAGGGGAGACAGATGGACCATGGGGGTGTACCAGAAGGAGACAATGCAGCCACATAAAAGTCATAAGGTTTCTGCACCCTCCCCCACATCTCTCCATCCTCTACAAAGGCAAGCAAGAGGCATTAGCACAGAGACATTCAAGCCAGACAAAATATCTAGAGGAGGGAGCTGGGCTGGTGAAGGTTGAGAGAGTGTGGCCCCAGGAAAGTCCCATGGGCCAGCTTGAGGCTGCATTTGGCAAGAGGGCTGGAGGTTCCCTGTGCTTGCTTTTAATTAAGGGGGGGGGGAGATGTTGGGAAAATGCACTATATAAATGCTAAGTTTGTATCAATGCCTTTTGGGTTTCGATTCACTCAGGCTTGCTGATTTATTGACTGTTTCCATAGTCTGCTGCCATTGCCTGTTTCGCTGAAGTCGGAATATTGTAAAATTGGGTTTTATTATATAATGTTTTATCCCTGCTGTGTATTTCTACCCTGGGATCTTTCAATGAAGGGGGAACTATAAATAAGATAGATAGATAAGTACATTTCTTGTTTGGGCCAGGGGAATCAACTTTTGCAAGATAAAGCATTTTATTTTATTTTATTTTATGAACCCATAAGCTGGCACATTTCTATGCCAGTCACTTGTAGCTTGTGAACTTCGTGTCTGTAATGCTTCCCATTTTCCTGCTTGGAGGCCATTTTCGTTCACCGCAAGTGAGCCAGATCTTACAAGCCTGCGATAACAAGCCTCAGCTGTGACTGGAAGTCTTTTCCTTGGAGGTTTTGAAGCAGAGCTTGGATGGCCATCGCCATGGATGTTTTAGTGGAGATCCGTACATTGCAGGGGGTTGGACTAGATGACCGTCGGGATCCCTGACAACTCCGTCATTCTATGATATACAAGTCCTTGGACTGTGTCTCCCAGCAGTGCTGCCTTTAGCATATGCGCCTCTGGGGTACAAAGATCCGCCCAGCGCCCCCAAATTTAGTTTAGCCCCAAAATTAACACCACCACACTTATAAGTATACTTATAAGTATGCAAAGGTGCCGCTGACCCAGCTGCCACACAGCAGCTCAATACAATACATAACATAATACTTTGATGTAAGAGTTAATTTCGCGTGCACGGGGCTGTTGAGAATGACAAGCGCAGTCATTGAGTCTGACAAGCACCGCCGTTGTGAATGACAAGTGCCGCTGCTGGCGCCGCGCGTCTTTGGTAAATAAGCGCACAAAGTCGAAAGTCCTTTAGTGAAACAGTAGGTATACATTTTGGTAATACCTAGGTATATATGTATTTTGTTTTTCTAGCTTGATCAAAATTATTTATTATTTCAAAACAGGTAGATAGTTAAGAGCTTAGGTGGCTTCAGCGGCGGGTGCCTGGCACTCCCCAGAATTTGGCGCCCGGGTGCCCCGCACCCCTTGCATCTCCGGGGAAAGACAGTCCTGTCTCCCAGTTCTGTGTCCAAGTGATACATACAAGCACTGGCCTGGATAAGGCTCTTAAAGATTTAGATTCCTATAAGCTTCCTGTAGCCTGCTATTGTCTGCTGGATGAATGGATAGATAGATGGCAGCCACGAAGATATTTATACCTTGTGCCTAAACAAGAAAGTCAGTCCCCGTGATAGTCACAAAACTTGCTTTCACATAAAGTACGGTATATTTCTGATTCAGAAGACGGTTTAATCGGTGCAAGATGAAACAGACTTATTAAACTTTTAAAAATCATTTCATAAAATCTCTTTTCAAGTGGTACTTACATGAATACAAAGCTATTTGAACTATGTTTCTTACCAAATTGTTAATCAAGCCATTTGGGGGGAGGGGCACAAGAAATGTATATAGTTTTACAAATACACACAGGTCCCGTCCCGCTTTATGAACACAGTGCATTTCCTGGTAATCTTTTATCAGGCAAGTGTTTGTTTCATGAGTTGATGATTTCTATTGATTCCTATGAGGAATTTTCTAATGCATTTCCAACCATGTATACCTACTGTATATAGCGAGGTTTAGGGACGAATTTTCACATAGTGAGGACCTGCATAAAGTGGGACCTGCATGTATAAGAAATACTGGAAGATGTAAAGTCTTTGCACTAGTTATTATATATGTATACGTATATCATATACAGTAATGCATCTGCATTTGAGTATTGCATCTGAATGCTTGATTTGCCTCTACCGAAAAGCCTGCTTTGCACAGTGATTTGAAAGTTCCCTCTCTCTGATATTATTTCTGTGACGGGTCATACACAAACATGAGCCCTCACTGGACATTCTTCATTGGATGATTATATTGTGAAGAAGGGATGTGCATAGACCCCTGATTCACGCTGTGGTACCACTCTAACGGGCTTTGAAGATGCTCGAACTCAAGACGAAAGGGAGAAACGTGCTAAGAGGAAGGCATGCTTGACAAACCCTCACCATTATCAACTCCCGCCTGGAAACCTATGTCCCCACGGTGGAAGGATGTGTGGGTCCAGAATTGGCCTCCACAGTCACTTATGGACTCACTGTTAAAACCATGTTTTTGGAAGACAATCTTACCCAGCTACGAATGATCACCAAAGAAGAAGAAGACCACTCTATGGCTCCCAGATCAGGGCAATTTGCCCTGTGTTGTCCCACCCATCCCAGATTCATCCCCCAAACAATTCAGGGATGGGGCTAAGAATTTTCAAAAGCCGTTGCAAATGTTCTGTGAATGTGTGTGCACAGCATTGTGCAGGATCAGAGCCTCCCACTCAGCTAAAAGGCTGCACAAAAGGAGAGTTGTGACCAACACAGTGTAGGATCAAATTGGATCCTGTGTGGACGCAGCCAGTTGAACCCCACAGGATTGATCCAGTCCAAGAATCGGGGGTTCTTTTGGTCACATGTGCTGCATCAAGAAGATTTTGGGCATCACATGGCAGGACAGAGTCTCAAAGAAAGATGTGCTCTCTCAACGTTTCCAGCAGGTTCACATTCCTGTTTCAGCAAAACGTCTATGGCTGGCTTAGTCATGTTCACAGAATGGAAGATGGCAGGATTCCTAAGGATCTCTATGCGGAGCTGGCTTCAGGTACCAGGCGCATCGACAGACCAACTCTGCAGTAGAAAGATGTCTGCAAATGTGACATAAAAGCTAGCAACATCAACTCTGTTGTATGGGAATCCCTTGCAGATGACTGCAGTGCCTGCAGACAGACAGACAGACAGGTAGTGCATCCATAGCAGTGAGCAGAGGAGGAACGACCGCTGGTAGAAATGCAGAGGGAAGAAATGCCATGGTGCATCTGCAGCAGCGCAACCAAATACCTTCATCTGCCCCAGCTTCAACAAAACATGTTTCTCCTGTATCAATCACTACAGCCACAGCAGGCACTGTAACTCCCCAACAGTTTGAATTCACCTCGCAAGCTGCACTCTTCCATCGTATCACAAGACACAAGGGTGCCAACAACTAGGGCTAAGTCTAGAGAAAAATGTGAAGTAGGTATTTCTGAATGCACAGGGAATACATTTCCCCACTGACTTACTGTCATCTGTCCCTACTCGCTTAGGACTTAAAGGCAGGTTCTTCCAGGGCAGATGAGCTCCAGTACCTTTCTTGTTAGAAATTAAGTATTGGGGCAAAATAAACAACCCTTTGCTTCTTCTCCTGCTACCATTAGCTGCATACTTCTCATCCTTCCGAGAGTTAGAGGCAGGAAGGGGGACCTGCATCACACCATGTTTAGCTTTGTGCAACTACGAAGGAACACATGGAATTGCTGTTCCATTTCATGTTTCTTTAGCCTTTGATGTGGGAAGCAGAGAAACCTGGGGACTGGAGCCTTGTGGTTCCCACGTTGCCACTTAGAACGCTATCTCGTCACAGACAGCGCCGCGGAGCATAGCAAATGCATTGCAGTTTGCTCTGCGCAGATACTAACTGCTTAGCAATTTCTTTCCTTTTTTCTTCTTTTGCCGTGCTCCACCAAGTAAAAAAGAAAGGGGAAATTACACAGAGGAACAAAACCAACACCAGCTTCTCGTGATGTCAGATGAGTGGCTGTGATGTGTGGGTGGGTGAGGTGGGAGCTGGAGGGGGAGGGTGACACTCTTGAAGGCTTTGCCAGCGCTTCCTTCTGTGTTACAGCTTGTGCCCACTCGCTGCATCTCATTACCAAGTAGGGCCTGGGATAAACGGGGGAGGGAAATGAACTTTGGCTCAACGGGGGAAACAAGTAGAAGGAATTTCAGTTCTCTAAACTGTGAAAACCACCGTGTTAAATGAACAGTCAAACGTGCCCTTGTTCTATAGCTTCCTACCTTGGAAAACCCTTTCCACATCAGTTTGTCTGCTGATTACCTGACACGGAATTTCCACTGGACTGCAAGTGGGTCTGGGCATATTCTGTGTGCAAACACGGTATAATGAGGATGCTGGTGGCCCAGGCAGTCAGAATTTGCTATTGATTTGCAAATTCAGCATGGTTATCAGCCAGGGGATGGTCACTGTTGTTGATTATATAATAATAATAATAATAATAATAAAATTTTTTATTTATATCCTGCCCTCCTCAGCTGAAGCCAGGCTCAGGGCAGCTAACAACAATAAAATAGTACAATATTCTAAAATCATTTCATTATAAAATTAATTCAACTCAAATTGATGGCAACCATTAGGCTAAAGTTCTGTGAAGATTGCAGAGGGAGGGAGTCAGGCTGTGCCCTGGCCAAAGGCGTGGTGGAACAGCTCTGTCTTGCAGGCCCTGCGGAAAGATGTCAAGTCCCGCAGGGCCCTAGTCTCTTGTGACAGAGCGTTCCACCAGATTGGAGCCACAGCCGAAAAAGCCCTGGCTCCGGAAGGCTGCAGGCTCCCCATACCTCGTGCAGACAGTCTTGAACTGGACAGGCCAATGATCTGACTCCATATAAGGCAGGCAGCTTCCAATGTTACAATCAGTTGGCAGCACCACCCTCTTGCGGGCAAATTTCCAAGCCGGTGTGTTTCTTTCAAAGGGCTGCATGGGTTCCATGGAGAAATAGACACGGCAAGTTTCAATTGGGGGGGGGGAGGGGGGAACAACCATATAGATTTTGCAGTAAATATCTCTAAGCAACGTGCTTCCCAACTGCAGCTTGAAGCGTTACGGTGTAATGCAGCTGCTCAAAGCCTGTTTTGGGAAGTCCCCGCTTCAAATTACCACCTTGGCTAAGAACTCACTAGGTGGCTGTAGGCCACCTCTTCCTCTGCAATATGAAGATAGTAATAGAGGGTTGTCACACTGACAGCTGAAGTATGTGAAATGTGAATACTCAAGAAAAGTGCTATAAGCCACAGCAGACATTTCAGGTGGCCCCTGTACTTTATCAATCACAACCACCACAATCAAACTCCTCCGCATAGCCTCTCCTACCTGCCAGCTTCTCTTAGCCACATTCCACTGTTTCTTTTTCCAGGTCCCATTCTTCCTTCAATCTCACCTCCTTTTCTCCCTTTCCTTATCAGATTTCCTTCCACTCCACTCTTTCCTCAGGGTCCTGCCATCCTACTGCCTATTCTGTTCCCAGAGCTATCCCGACTGTGCCATCACAGTTGCTCAGCCTTTGTGATGTCAGCATTGCCAGCAGCTTCACTGACGTCACAAATCCTTACTGCACAAAATGATTAGTGATTTTCTTCGCAAAATCAATGTGTCGTTTTTTTTCCTATCCTGACGTAACACTTTCCACAAAAATTCCTTCTTGAGAGCCAGTGTGTAGAAATTGTATTTGATTTCTACATTATATTGTACCACGTTTTGTGAATTATGAGCACTGCAGCACTGTCAGGATTCGGATTGGGTTAGCAGGCTCTGATGGAGGAGGAGGAAATGGAGGACTGAATTGGGTGAATCTTGACTGAAATCAGTTTGTAAGGGGGAGAAGGGATGTCAGCTCTCCCCTCTGTCCTTCCTGCTGAGCGGCAGTCCTCAGTGGAGGCTGGGGAGGGCTTGGAGGGAGGGGAGGTTGAAGAGGAGGTGGCAGTGATCGAATAGGAGTCTGAGCAGGAGGGTACAGTCTTGTCATCTAGAACCAGGCCACCACCTCTGCAATTCGGAGCAGACCCATTAGCACTGACAGAGTGTGCACTTGCCACACCGATATTCCCACTAGGTGGAAAGACGCCATGCATTGTTTTTAAAAGCTTAGTGGGAAGGGTGGGGGAACTTGTTGGGACACTTTGTCACTTTGTTGGGACATCTTTGTCCCTTCTGTCCAGTCCTTGAACTCCTGAATTGTGTCTCCTGAGCAACGTCTCTGCTGCTGAGCCTGTATCACTCCTTGCTTGCATAAAATTTTCTTCCTTACTTCTGAGTAAGAGCCTTTGTCTGTGTGTGTTGGGTGGGAGCCAGAATCTTTCTGAGAACTGGAGTCATGGCTAGATGGCACACTTGCCTGAACCAACAGGCTACTTTTTAAATATTTCTTTTTAAATTAAATTTTACATAGCATATTTCCATTTAAACATATCAATCACCTTTTCATTTAGGATTCTCAGAATCCCTTGACTTCCCTCTCTGCCCTTTTCTGGTTTCCATTGCCCATCCCTTTTTGTTCAGCTTATCCCCCTCCCCCCAATTTAATATATCTATTATTTACTTTTTCATTATAACAGGCTACTCTTATGTACATAGGCCCATAGGAGCTGAGTGTATGTATTGTTGTACAACTGGGATTGCAAAAACAGTTTTCCCACCTATGCATACAGAGGCACCAGCTTCTTCAGAGGATTGATGCCCCTCGTGTGACATCATGTGACATCCTCTGAATATTGAGGGCGGCCCGGCACCCTCAAAAAATATTCAGGGAGCCAAAACTGCCTTGGCTCCTAGGTGTCATGATAGATATCCTGATCTACAACCAGATGAATAAGAGTGGTTTTGTGCGCCTTGTTTGGGTGCCACCACACCACACCTTTACTAGTAAAAAATGAGAGGGGCCTTCAGATGGCCGCTGGGGCAATTGCCTTTTTAATTTTTTTTTTTATTCAAAATTATAACAAGACATATTATCTAAAAACATTCGAAGTTTTCAAATGCTTCTTCTAAATGTCATTTTTTAATTGGTGGGGTTTTCTCCACAAAGATTCCCCTAGAGCAAAGTTTTTGTATGCTTCATGTTAATCCTGCCCAACCTCTGGGGACTTGCTGCTTGCCTTAATTTGGGGGGTAAAGTCACTTCCTTTGTTATCATTAAAAAAAGGAAAGAGTGTAAACATATTGGTGAAGACTAGATAACTTGAAACTCATGAGTGGCTTTGTATTCAGTGCACCTAAAAGGCGTGACAGAGTTAAAACGCATATCCTTGTCACAGGCAAAGGACAACGGGTTAAACTGAGAGCTTGGCTTCTTTGCTCAGTCTCAATGCAAATTCTCTAATCCCCTGCTAATCAATGTATATTTTTCTATTTTTATACCAGTGGTTGTCTATTCCCACAGCTATCTTTACTGACTAAAATATTTGCTTTGGCAACCAACTTTGCTCTACACATATTTGCGATTTGGGTTGTTTTTTCTCATTCTGTTCGATAATAAAAGTTGTGTGTAATTTTCAGGTTTGCTTACGTTTCTATGTTTGCTTATGTTTCTTTTTGATTCTGTATAGTAGAATCTACTACACAGCATATCTTAAAAGTGCACATACTCCCCTCATTGGCTAACATCAGATTTGAGGGGTACGTTGGAGTGCTTTCTTCATTGAGGAAATGACTCAAGATGGAATGAGTTAAACACCCTTCCACAGTGCCATTGCTAGAATCAAATTTGGGATACTTGGTGTCTATTTTAAAGTAAACAAACATACAGAAAACCCAAGGAAAAAACAATTGCTCTATCAGATTATGGATCTCCAACTTCTTGTCTGGCCTCTAGCAGCTGATAAACAGAGCCCAATTGAAAACAGGCCTGTGGAGCCAAATGAAAAACAGATCTGAAACGCCTTCCCATTTTTTAAAAATCAGGTTTGTGCTTTGGATTTGTATACACATTTTGTCTCCAGTTATTGGTAAGCCCCACACCACAATGTTTACAATCATGTACTAATCAAGTACATAATTGAAAGGATAGCATTACAATAGCAGCACCATTTTTTTCTGTTTAGGGTCTTCTGCACCATAAATTTAAACCACTTTGATACCGCTTTAAAATGGGTTTAACTGGCACGGTTTGCCCCCAGCAACTAGCAATGCTAGTTTTGGCACTGGGGGTGAAATCCTTTTCTTTTATGCCCCTTTATAGTACCACATTTCCCAGGTTATCTTGGTTGGGCACCAACCACGTTGGAAAATAGTTTAAATTTGTAGTCACGAATATGTTCTCTGTGTTTAAACTTACCTCAAAGGGATATAAGTACAAATTAAATTGGGATTTATAAGTATGTGTATTTACCTCACAGAAAGTGTCTTAATAAATTCAAAGGAGACATTTGTGTTTTTAATTTCATGTCTGTTCCTTTTAGCTGTTATTAGGCCACAGTACCATTTAGGTCCCATCGTTATGGTTTTGTTTATTTATACTGCTGAGAATGTATTGCAGCATGGGCAATGCATGGGAGGAAACCATGACACCCACAGGTTTCCACTACGTGGGATCACATGCTGCAACTTGTGGTTAACCGGAGGAGCTCTGGACTTGCAAAGCGAAACAAAACTTGCGTGCTAATCTTTTCCCTTTGTGGCTAAGTAGGCGTGTTGGGGACTCTAGGACTTGAAACCGGAACATCTTAGTTGGAACGTACAACAGCGCTCTCTCTCTCTCTCTCTCTCTCTCTCTCTCTCTCTCTCTGTTTCCAAACCTTAGAGCCTTCTCCAGACACAAAAGACAATCAGGCAGTAAAAACAACAGACTCTGCAGGATGTATGACACCACTAGAATGTCCAGATCTAGGCTGTGCACACCTAATTGGCTTGAAATACAACTCTTTTTCTCAATTCAGATTAAAGCTAGTAAGGTGCAAATGCATCAAAATCCAGTGCTTCATAAGACATTACACAGTGGATACAGGATAAATATGGATTGTGGCTAGTTCAGAATATATACCGTTTCTCAAGATCAGAACAGATGTGATCTCCATCTTCTCCTTTTTATTATTAGTTTTTGTTGACTGTTGTTTAAACCAGGGACTAATACGGTGCTTTTAGCAGTAAATGTACTAATACCCACCCACTTTTACAGTTCATCCCCTACACATTAAGCATCCTATTGTATTTATATCAATATATACCTGGTTTTATCTCAATAAAGATAAATTTCAGATATCTTAGGATCTATGAAAAGACTAACATCAAACTTTGAGCAAGAGCTTCCCAGAACACAGCCCACACGATATGGTAGGATTAGTTTATCAATAAAGATTTAGCAGATACAGGACTAGCCTTATGAATATCATATCCTTTTCCTGATACAGGAAAGATCTCTTTTATGCATGTTCAATAAAATTGAATGACCCGCATCTTACTCCACTTACATTTTTATTTCCTGGTATGTACACCTGGATTACTGTCTTGCTGTCCTCCATATTTCTATGTAAGTGTGCAGGAATATAGCCTTAGCAGGATGTGACACTAAACACATTGATAAAAAGGTGTGGGGAGAAGGTAATGCTTTGCTCTCCAGCCACAAGCCTGATCTTTCAGTCCAGACACTGAAATCCTGCTCCGAGTGCCTTCTGGTGGTTCCCTCATTGTGTGAAGTGAGGTAACGGGGAACCAGGCAGAGGGCCTTCTCGGTAGTGGCGCCTGCCCTGTGGAACGCCCTCCCATCAGATGTTAAACAGATAAACAATTATCTGATATTTAGAAGACATCTGAAGGCAGCCTTGTTTCAGGAAGTTTTTAATGTTTGATGTCTTAACTGTGTTTTAGTTTGTTGGAAGTTTCGTAGAGTGGCTGGGGCAACCCAGTCAGATGTGTGGCATATAAATAAATTATGGTGATGATGATGATGATGATGGTAATGATGCAGGAATGCTTCGGTATTATCTAGAAATATCCTATTACTAGGATCAGAGAATAAGGACAGTACAATAAACCAAAAGGTCCCTATTTTTATCTGTGATGTGCTGAAATGTTACTAAAGTTTACTAGATGGGGCAAATCAAATATAGGCAATTAAATATCTCAGTAATAATAATAAAAAAGTAAGAGGGGCTAAAGAGAGAACAAAGGAAGCAGGAGAAGCAGGAAAGAAAAGTGCACGGGGAACAGTCTAAAAAACAAAGACAAAAACAAGCTTCAAAGCTAGAGCAAATAAAGCTGCATGACCATTTATGTTTTAAGAAGAGCAAGAAATCGAAGAGAAATTTGACCAATGCAACAGCAATGATTAAAGGGTTGGAACTCATGAGAAAAATTGCTTGGTGTCTCTGGGTGTGTTTAATATAGAGAGAGGAAATTTAAGGGGAGCCATAATAGCAGTTTTCAAGAGTCTAAAAGGCTGCCTTGAAGAAGAGGTTGAACAAATGTTTCTTGGGCTCATTCCCTGGCATTATTACAGAAAAGCAGATCTAGGTCTAGAAACTCTCCATGAATCGATAAAGTGCACTCTTAGTCTATAAGGTTCCACAAGAACCTTTGCTGTTTTTTCCACCTTTTAAATATCACTGAACTTTTTTTTTTAACAGACGTTTACATCTCCCCACCAATATGTCCCGCATTGACACCTCCAGAAAACATATTTAATGCTTCTAATGAGGACTACAAGTTTTAATCAGTTTAATTGCTTGATGACACAACTCAGACTTCAGACAACTATTCAATAGGGGTTATTTTAATTGGTGGGGATGACTTTAAATTAGTTGTACAGCAAATTAAATATTTCTTTGTCACTTTGAGGCTATAATAGTTTTAATGTATTAGGGGAAGGAATTAAAAATAATAATACCCAGAATGGCCTTTCTAAGAACAAATGCTACTTTTTTGTTTATTGCATAAGGAAATGTAAGATTACCAAAATATAGGTGGCATTGGGGTAGGTCCTTTGCTGGATTATGGAAGTGAAGTGGTGCAGCTGTGGATTCTAATTCCCCTCCTTGAGACTGTACCCCTGGTTTTGAGAGGCGAATCAGCCTTAGTCCTCTTCTTTGTGTGGCCTATGTTGGACTGGACACTGGGTCACTTTGGAGTTGGTGGTACTCCTAAGGTAGACTGTGAATGTCCCACATCTGTGATTTTTGTTCCTCTGAATCCCTGTGCAACATATCTGGGACTGGGTCATGACATGCACAACACTATCAAATGTCAGTGCTACCTATGTGTTTACTGAATGGAAAGCTGGCCCTTCAAACATTCGCGAACCATTCACAGTTGATGAGCAAAACTTTGAACGTTGGGAAGTTTCAAATCTGAGTGGTTTTTGCTTTTAGCATCAGCCACAGTTGCCGGCCACGCACCCATTTTGAAATAAAACCAAATGCTTGAAAACAAAACCTATAAATATAAGATGGATAACAGAAAACAGAACTTACTTTACATTTCTTTACAGCAGCATTGCACGGTGGTTCTGCCATCCAGACCTTTCTAGGAGGTGGACTTGGAGCTATTTCCCTCTGCAGTTTTTGTCATCGATCTTGCCACCTTCTCCTTTAAAATAAGGTGAGTACCAAATTAGTGTTTGGGTTCTTCCGACATGTTTCTCCAAACCTAGATAAATACTGTCTTCTGTCTAGTTTTGTTTGAAGAGAGATGCTTGTAGTATTTTTCAGTCAGTTTTTGGAAACTGCCATTTTATTGTGTTGCTGAAGTTGGATGTTACATTGTTCAAACACTGTTGTCATGGTGGATGAGTTTTGAGAACTCTCGGTGGATGATCATGATCATGGTGATTTAATAAATTTATATATTTAAATTATGGAATGTCACAAACCCAAACCAAGTAAGAGAGCTCTTGGACAGTTTTGTTTTGTTTTTTTTTTTTTAAAAAAATCAGTTACATAGGGTGCTCATGAGTTGCAAACAGGTCAACTGGCATCCTTAGGGGTGGTGACTATTGATGTGGGAAGTTTATAGCTAGAATTCTTTCTTCTTCTTCTTTATCCCCAAGCAGCAAATTTCCACAGAAAACCCCAGTGACTACAGTGGTACCTCGGGTTAAGTACTTAATTCGTTCCAGAGGTCCGTTCTTAACCTGAAACTGTTCTTAACCTGAAGCACCACTTTAGCTAATGGGGTCTCCCGCTACCACCACGCCGCCAGAGCATGATTTCTGCTCTTATCCTGAAGCAAAGTTCTTAACCCGAGGTACTATTTATGGGTTAGCGGAGTCTGTAACCTGAAGCATATGTAACCTGAAGCATATGTAACCCGAGGTACCACTGTATTTCTATTGGGTTATTTTGGCACTGCCATCCCTACAATAATCTCAGGTGGCTATTTCAGTTAGCCCCTCAATGTTTTTGTATTTTGCTTTAGGTCTCATTGTATAACGGGTTGGCCATCTTAAACTGTGATTTACTCTAAGTATTATCTGATGTTGTTTGGTTCTATTACTCCTTTACTTGAGATGGGTGAGTAGCAGACTAGGTGCAGGAGTGCTAAAATGTAGCAAGGATGGTGATATTGCAAGAAGCAAATATATCAACAAGACTAAGGAAACACAAACACGTCAACAAGACTAACTCTGGAAACTCAAAGGCAGCCATTTTCTCCCTTTAAGAGAACTTTTTCCCAATAGTACAATGACAAAAACAGGCCACTGTGGTTTTCAGCAGGGAGGGGGAAACCTTGTGTTTTATGAAGCAGAACAAATAGCAGCTAATAAAATGAAATGGTGCTTATTTTGAATAAGTGGGAAGTTATAGTAGGAGCATAAATTGCTGGTGGTTTTGACACCTTTCATTCACTTTGTGATTCCAAGTTAGTCTGTGGTTTCAGATCTTTTGAACACCCACACTATCCTTTGCTCCCTGATAGGGACTAAATGCAGCTTACAGATAAAAAAGCCCTCCAAACTTAAGTTTCATTTTCTTTCCTGGAAACTGGGTATGTAGCTGCTCTAGTAATTTTTTGGATTTATCTATTTACCCTTCTTCCGGGTGCTGTGAGCAATTCACACTCTGGATCTTGGGGAGACAGAGGGGAGATATCCAGTTACTGTGTGCCTTCCAGCAGCAGCCACAACACACCACTGTGTCCATTTTGCTCGCACACCCAGTTCTCCACTAGCTGCCACCCTGTTCCCTTCCTTCAGGGAACAAGGGCGCCTTGGTACACTGAGCATCTTTGCTATCGCTTATCATGGGATTGAACTACAAATGACACTTTACCACTGAGATTTATGTTTGATTCACACTAATTTTCCTCTATGCTTTTTAGGCTTCCACTGGACCCTCTGAATGTTCTTTTTGGTCACTTGTAAACCTCTTGAAGGTTTTGTGAACAGGAGTCCTCAAAGGGCCTGGTTGATTTCCCTGGGTGAGCACCAGGTTGCTCACCCATCCTTAACTGCAGTTGATGAGCCTAAAGTAAGGCAGTTTTATAGGTTCAGGTACTTGAAGAGTCCCAGGGCTTGTGACCCCACCCCTAGGGCCCACTTCCCAGATCATGAGCCTAGTGTGTAACTTTTAAAGCACATTCCTCCAAAAAGTAGATATTTATGAGCATATGATAATAACCTCTGCCACAATGTGGTGTTAATGGCAATCTGTGATGACCACAGGAGGCATGAACTGCAACCTTACAATGACTCTTTAGATGTATTTTCCTATCAAAAGATTTCACAATACATTTCTGGGTTTTTGTAGGGATGTGCATTGACAGGCATTATTAGCTTGAAAGAGGTAATTACAGCAGCGTTGCCTCTGCCTTGGTCCAAACATAAAATTAATGATGCACAATACAGCCTTATATATGCCTCGTGTACTGTTGGGAGTAGATAGTTAATGGTTTTTAAAATATATGAACACATATCCCAAAACCATTCTCTGATACTGAGGAGCTACATGTGGCAGAGCTTTAAGACAGGCATAGGCAAACTCGGCCCTCCAGATGTTTTGAGACTACAATTCCTATCATCCCTGACCACTGGTCTTGTTAGCTAGGGATGATGGGAGTTGTAGTCCCAAAACATCTGGAGGGCCGAGTTTGCCTATGCCTGCTTTAAGATAAAGAGCTGAACTTCTCAGGACATGCAATCAACTCAAAGATTCCACATGCAACAGCACACAGGAGTGAAGATCTGCATACTGTCCCATGTCGCACATGATCCTTGCATGCGCAAGTGCCTACACAAGAAAGCCCATCTATTGTGAAAAGGGGTTGATGTGATGTTGGGAGCAGGAGCTACTAATCAAAGTATTTATGTGCTAGCATTAAAGGTTATGCTTGTGGGGGGGGAGAGGGTACAATCCCTAGCTTGTTCCTGTGCCCTGCCATATAATAACTTTAATGTCTGAACTAGGTGAAGAGTAAGTTCACACTCTTCCATGTTTGCTTCGTTCCTCTCTGTATCTCTCTTTTTTTTACATGTCAGTAGCTACGCACTCCAGTTTTCACTCAGTATTGCCTAGCAATTTCAACTCACATGGTTGTGTTTTTTTGTATTTTTTTAAAAATATAAATCTGTCTTCATATTTGCAATATGCTGGTGTACACTTCAGAGTTGCCATGGGAATGGTGCTGAAAATAGCTTCCCATATCAAGCGATCCCTGCCTGGTCTGTAACATTTAGAAGCACTTGCCAGCAGCCAGAAATGTGGAGTCGATTTGTGATGGCCAATCCCTATACAATGCTCAATAGCTTTTTATATTTGTGAAGGATATGCCACTATGGGGAGGCTGTTTCAGCGGCATTCCCATGATGACTGTGATACTCACTCTGACACTTCAAACTCTGACACCTAGATGTACAAGGGAAGGCCCAAGAATATATGGTTTGACAGTCAAATATGTGTCGAATATTTTATTCGCAATATCAGGCAATTTCTTTTGTTATTGTTGTTGTATGCTCAACCCCACTCCCTGAGACTTGTGCTCAGATAGAGAGAAGTGAGTCAGATCTAGTGAACACTTGGATACCAAGGGAGTGGTTTCCCTAGCAACAGTAACAATGTGAAGTGCTCTTTAGAACTTCCCCTCTGTGTTCATGCCGGCTTTCTCATGTGACATTTGCTGCAATGCTGCAGAGAGCTTGTTTGTCGAAGTTACGGATTCTTCTAAATAAGACTTTCCACATTTCGCTTCTCTGTTTCCACCCCCTCCCCGCCAGTGACTTGCTTTTCAGTGACTGACAAGCTTCCTCTGCTTCCAGAGGACTGGCTTTTCCAGTGGACGAATGGAGCATTTGTGCTGCTAGGAGGAAGCAGAAGATTCTCAAATGGAAAAGGAAAGAATGAAGGGGGGGGCAAGGAGCCCGAGAAGGAGGTGAAAGTGGATCACACAGGTGACAGGACATCCTGACACTTGACCAACTGCCATAGTCGGTAGATTTAAGAAACCTTTACTACATCTGGGATGGCAGATATCTAGCATAATTCTGTTTGGTGAATTTGGCTCTCAGTAAGGTCTGCTGTAATTGGCAGAAATCTTTCTCAGCCTTACCTGAAGATACTGAAGATTACACCTGAGACCTTTTACATGCAGATGAGCTCATGGGAAGGGAAGCTCAGAAGGGGTATGGAAAACTACTCCTCATCTTCCTTTTGAGGTTATTTTAGGTAATGCAGCCAGGAATGTTGTATCTAGTCCCACAAATATTAACTACAGTGGTACCTCGGGTTACAGATGCTTCAGGTTACAGACGCTTCAGGTTACAGACTCCGCTAACCCAGAAATAGTACCTCGGGTTAAGAACTTTGCTTCAGGATAAGAACAGAAATCGCGCAGTGGCAGCGGGAGGCCCCATTAGCTAAAGTGGTACTTCAGGTTAAGAACAGTTTGAGGTTAAGAATGAACCTCCAGAACGAATTAAGTTCTTAACCCGAGGTACCACTGTAGTTGCTTTTCTCTCTCTCCATGTTAATGTCTCTGGAGCAAGGTATCAAATAGATAAAGTTAACCTGAACTGGGTTGTGAAAGCCAGTGTGGTGTAGTATCTAAAGTCTTGGGCTAGGACCTGAGAGACCAGGGTTCAAACCCCCACTCAGCCATGAAAATCACTGAGCGACCTTGGACCAGTTCCTGCCTCTCAGCCTAACCTACCCAGTGAGAATAAAATGAATAGTGAGAGAACCATATACACCACCTTGAGCTCCTTGGAGGAAAAGTGGCATATAGATGTAATAAAAACAAATAAAATATATGTAGTTACAGGCCACAGTGACCAATAATGATGTCTTGTGGGGGTATAGCTCCATTTACATTGGCATTTCTTAATTGCAAACTTTGGAATGGTCACAAGGGGGGGAATTAGTGACTGCTTTGCATGTGTGAAAATGGGCTTTTAGCCTTTTACTCACGTGAACAGTTAATTTACTAGGACAATTTTTATGAGGAGTTGTTGAACAACTATTATTCCCTCTTGCACTCTGCATCGTCTGTCTGACCTCTCACCAATCCTTCGCAAGTATGTCCCATTGCCCTCTTTATAATGCAGATTCTTCTGTACAGCTCAGTGCTAAGTTTATCAAGTCACTTCGAGTGCCTCTTAGTTTTTCACAGCGCTGAAAGGAAACTTTCTAATAAGAGCCTTTGCAAAGCCCGCTCCTAATTAATCAAAGCTGTTTGGAAGGGAAGCTTATTTGCCAGCGGTTAACACAGAGACATGAGCTATTGTGGGAACCTTGCTGATCCTCTGTTTTAACAAGGCAGATGCAGCTTAACATTGCTGTTGAACTGATGACCTATGGCTACGATGCCAAAGGAAACTGGGGAAAGCAAACAGGCAAGCCATTGGTCTGGAATTGCCTGCTCCTTTGCTGTTGTTTTCAACAATGAAGATTAGTGACACCTATGGGTAGCATAGGAGAGCAGCTGGGGGTTTTCTTAACTAAGGCTTGCCTTCAGATGCATATTTTTAGATTTTAGCTAAAGCCAGTGGTTCCGTTTCAGTGCACTAATGGTGTATGTCTGAATTGAGCATAGATAACAGACTCCAAAACACCAAACTATAGCTGTAGACACAACTTTCCAGGGACATGGAACAGAATCAAAGCAACACAGAAGAAGGATTGATCCACAAATCATCTACAGTCCCAAAGCCCCTGCTTTTTCTTCACTGCACACAAAAGAACGTGCTCATATGTTTTCAGGAAATCACACAACAAAAATAAATAAACCCATTTCTTCTTCTTAGCCTAGTATTATTGCCCATGAGCTGGGTCCCAGAAAGGGGCTTTGCAGGTCAAAAGGGTTAGGGAATGCATGTAGAAGTGGTCTGAATTCTCAATATCTTCCATTAATGGTCACATTATTATAGTCTGTATTAGATATTCTATTGATTTTAAAAAGAACAGGTTCTGACTGATAAAATGAATTCACTGTGGTTGTTGCAAAGTAGATATGAACAGGGCAAATCAGATTTCCCCCAAGACTCTGAGGGTCAACAGAGGTAGGGCGAGCCCCCAAGTCAATTGTGTTTCAGAGTAAAGTCCTTCTTTTCTCCCATATATGTAAACATCTACCATTCACTCATGGAGGAAAAGGGCACAATTTATGTCAGGACAAAATGTGCTCTTTAGTTTGGTCGATAGGGTGCATCCTGACACCCTACTTTGTGTGTGCATGTCTCTCTGTGTGGCACCCTAACAGAGATACCAATGTGTTTGTGTGTGTAAAGAGCATCATTTCCACACACTCGCAGTTTCTGTGCTATGTGGGTTCCTTCTTATCTATGTGATTGGAACAAAGGATGTTTAGGAGATAGAAATGAACAATGTTTGGCTCACAAGACCAAGTTAGGATTATGCTAATTCCTTGCATGAAGGAAACAAGTCAAGACCTGTTGATTTTGTCAGGCCTACAGGAAAGGGGATGTTGCCAAGGTCTTTCTTTTTTGCTGAAAGCCATTTTGTGAGCCCATTGGGTGGAAACATGAACAGGGTTGAAAACTGGAAATGAATAAATAGGTCACATAATGGAGTGGTATCTTTATAGTTTAGGCGTCAGAAGAACTGATGTAATCAAATGAGAGAACAGGTGTGATTTGACCCAATAAAGTATAAATTATCTTGACATGGCAGTTCTGTGAATGGGTTGATGATTTCCAAGTCCACTATCTGAGCCAAGTGGCTGGTTTAATAATAACCTACTTTAGCTTACAAACCACTCTTGTCGTGTGTACTGCATGTTTTCAACTGAACTTAGCACATGACTGCCTTGTAGCTAGGTACATTTTCCAGGCTTGAGTTCTAATTGACTTATTATGAGCTTTGGTCTCAGTAAGTGTTTTGTTGATCTATCCCAAGATACTTAGGTTGTTTCTGAAATTATTAATCGGAGTGTCTTGTCTTCAGTCACGCAACATGAAAATGCTTTAGTGCCGGTTCTTGCTCAATGTTGGGTTAATGGGTTCACACACATTGTGAAGTCACTCTGTTCAATGTTCTGACTTGACTCAATGTCAAGAAATGTACCAATACCTATGTTGGAGGAATGTCAGGCACGGTAACTACTCTCTGATGAAGTAACAACTCGGATATGATGAAAAGGAAGTTAAATGATCGTGCACCAATGATTTCTGGTTTCTTAAACTCTGCCCTACTCATTATAAAACAAGAAGCTTAAAAGAAATTAGGGAAATTCTCTTGCTGTTATTTTTGAGTGCTCAGACTTCCCTTTAGTGGTTCATGGAGTCACAAACTGGCTGGCTGTCAAACTTGGTGCCCTACTGATAGCTTATAGAATAGACTAGGTTACTCCCACCACCCCCGCCCTAAGGGGATGATGCCATTAATACTAAGAGGAAGCATTTTGTGGGGAAGCTGATAAATGAATAAAAAGGAGAATTGCGATTGTAATATGAGCAGTTTTCTTATTCCTTAGTCCCTTAGTTTTTTTTTTGTTTTTTTACACTACAAGGGAATTATTCAACCAAATTTTGCTCAGAGTAGACTAAGTCAGGTCCATTAATTTCAGTGGGCCTACTTCGAGTACAACTTAGTTGAATACTGCTCCCAAACCTCACTGCATTTTATCGCTAGGAATGTGCTAGCTGTGTAGCAGTGCTGCAAGCCCGTTTTTAAGATTTCATGGCTTCAAAGAGATTTTATAGATTAGTTTCTCTGTGCAAGTGGGTATTTGTTGCCATGGATTGCAGTGTGAGCGATGGCAGAAACCCTCAATTCTTCACCAGTGTTCATTAATAGCATCCTGTTTCGCACTGATACAGTTTTTCTATTCCCATATAGGCTTTCATTTTATCTTATGAGATTTAGATTATGATAAATAGGCCCCCTCTGGCTATATTGGTTGCAGTAACATTATTAAGATAAAGGACTGTAAACCTTTGTTGGCTAGAATTTGCTGATGGTAGTAACTAAGTATGAGTCACTTTGTGTCAAATCCAATTTAGACCGTAATGGGCAGACAACAATTATCAATTTTATTGCTAATATTACCAGTGCTTCGTAGAAAGAAAAAAAGAAAGATAGACAGAAGAAACAGCTGCATGTTTGTTCTGTATTACTACTACTACCTTTCTTTCTGAAGATTATTTAGTAGCACTCTATGAAGGAGAAGCATTCCGGGGTCATTGTCTAAATGAATGCATTTCTATTTTACTCAGTGTGTATCCAGGGCCGGCTTACCCATAGGCGGTAGGGGTGCGGGGCACCCAGGCGCCGGGCTCTCAGGGGCGCCAGGCCGAGAGTCCGGGGCTGAGATTTGGAGTCCGGGGATTGAAGAGCCAGGCCAGCCAACAGCCACTGCCGAGCAGAGCAGAGCCTGTTGGAGCGCTGCAGGCTTTTCTGCGGGTGCTGAGGCAGCCAGCCAACTCCGCCCTCCTGCACGCCTGGGATTGGCGGGCTGTCGAGAGGCCCACCCAGCGCACACATGCTGCTCACACGAGGC